TTTCGAAACTAATGAAGGCAGGTAAAAGATCACTTGATCCGTTTATTTGATTTAAATAATGTATAACCCAACAGAACAGTCAAGTAAACAGTCACTAACATTAAGCAAGTCTAGCACATTGAACTCTCTAAAGTATTGGATACATAAACTGGATTTGAATGCGGGGTCAACTAATGAACTCACTCTCTAGTGGGGTCTCTCTCTGTAGTCCCGTCTTTTCGTGGCTCTTTCATTGACATACGAATTTGTAGGTCCTCCCCTAGTGGTTCTGTAATGTTTGGCTCAAGAGTCTGGCCTGGCTGGTCTTTTAAAAGCACCCCATGCTGTCGAAACCACTCCTGCATGTGAGAGGCCCGATGCTTTGAGTCGCTGCTCTGCCGACAGACAAAGTCAGGTCGTGGCGGCAGCCATGTCTACGGATACATAACACCTTCCAAACATGACAGCAAACGTCTGCCTTCATCGCTACCTCAGTCGTGTAGCGTGGTCCCACTTTTTTCCAAGGCAACCTTATCAAGCCTCCGCCAAGTTTCACAATTGGCAGCTGATTCTTTGGATCAAAACGTTCCCTCTCGTGGTGCCGTACATTACTAGTATCCTTGCTGTCATGCATCAGTAATATGTTTTTGTCATTCCAGATGACCTTAGAAACCTGTATCAACCTTCGTTTCAGGCTTAGTCAATCACATTCTACTCCCACCCACTTCACAGGACCTACAGATTTGTATGTCAATGAAAGAGCCACGAAAAGACGGGACTACAGAGAGAGACCCCACTAGAGAGTGAGTTCATTAGTTGACCCCGCATTCAAATCCAGTTTATGTATCCAATACTTTAGAGAGTTCTGTGCTAGACTTGCTTAATGTTAGTGACTGTTTACTTGACTGTTCTGTTGGGTTATACATTATTTAAATCAAATAAACGGATCAAGTGATCTTTCACCTGCCTTCATTAATTTCGAAAAATCTAAAATTTTCTAAACCCAAATTTGAGCTGAAGGTTGAAATGTGGATCATAAAACACGTAGTTAATAATTGTTGCAAATTTGGAGACGTTCCAGTGACTTTCAAAAGAGAAATCATGAAAAAACCGTTTGTTCATAAATTTCTGGCCACTACTGTATATAGTAGAATAATAGATGATCCGAAATCTGCCGTTGTCATAAGACTTCTCCTACTTTTTAATGATTTATTTTGCTTCAGGCAACCCGCTCGCATCGTCCTAATCCCCAGATTCAATCATATCAAATCTTGTTGGCGAAATCTCCCACTATCCTACACTACTAGCTCCTAAAATCCCAATGTCATAGTCTCCTGTTCTCCAGCAATGCAGGCGATACCTATATACTCATTTCGAAGTAAAATCCTACTCTCTTACTATCCTAATCTACTATATACATATTCTAAGCTTCCTATCGTCACGTATTTTTTTTAATGTTGGCTACTATTCTCGGAGTCGTGATGTATGAACGGTGCCTAGCGAATGCACATTGACCAACATACTCACTTCTTGGATAATCTATAAGCAGAACAATCCACTTTTACTTCAACATCAGAAACGATATTTTACAAGAATGCTGGGTTGTGAACAAAACTTTCGCCCCAGGCGGGACTAGAACCCGCACCTCTCGCTTTCCGGGCAAGTGCGCTACCAGTTACGCTACCGGGGCACCATTTCATTCCAACTCAGCTTTCATGGTATACGTATGGTGAGTAGGCTGCGGTAAGTATAATATAAACATAAAGGAACCTTTACTTTATGAATTGGTAAGCTCCAGCCAAGTATGCCGTATCTGCGCGAGAGACAGTCTGTGCGCTAAACTTAGCTAAAGTGATGAGGGATAATTTGGTTGGGATTGGGAGGAAAAAAGGTAGCGCACTGTGCTTCGACCCCGGTATGCGCGCGATAGCGGGCGGAGCAAAACTGGTGATATAATATAATAACAAGGGGTGGGGCATGAACATATTTGGTGGGGACCAGAAAAAAAGGTGAAATAAGAGCTGGTAGGGTCTAAGCGAAGCGTTGAAACGCAATGTCACGGAACTTCACAGCGCAAGGCCCAGCAGCACTGAGGCGTTGCTTTGCAGATATTCTACTATATATAATCGGCAAAGTGTGTCTGTCACAGGGGGGGGGGCAAAAAAAGAGTCACTTTCGTTCACCTTCAAACCAAACTGAATGATCTTAATTGCATATTGAAGAGCACATTCTATCTATCAAAAAGTTACATAGGGGCTTTCTACACCGACGACATCAGAAGATTTTCCCACGGAAACATGGTGCACGGTACGAGCTCAACGAGGTCGTCGAGAAACCATAGACGATTACGACGTCTCTGAAACGCTGGTCAAAAGCCATTTTGCATAGTCAGAGCTAGTGTCTCCTAAGAAGCCATTCACCAGTTATCCGATTGAAGAAATTATGTAGCAGCTTCAGAATGGAGCGATTATGGTAGGCCTCCTTGAGCTCGACGGTGATGACAGATGACGTCATATTCTGGAGACGGTGAAGGCAGCGAAGGTGGGCCTGATTCTGCTTATGGGGGGACATCTAAGGAATATTTCGCCGTATAACTCCCAATAACAGCGGCATCCTTTGCGACGAAAAGTTTGATGATATGCGCCATGGGCAAAGTGACTTTTTTTTGGCCCCCCTGTATGTTTGACCGGAAATTTAGCGCGGGCACCAGTGGCCGCCACGAGTTCATTTCAGTTATGATATAGGGGGTGGGACGGGAACATATTTGGTGGGGTACAGAAAGTGATAACAAGTGATAAGGGCTGATAAAACGGCGCTAAAGCGCAGGTGTAGCTTGATAGAGCGTGCAGCAGTAGTCGTCAAGCGTAGGGTATGATATACCAGGAACATATTTGATGGGGGACAGAAAGTGATAATAAATGGTAGTGACTGATAAGATTAATTAGGTTAAAAATAAAGAGTCGCTAGTTATTCCTTAGACTGCGCCTTTCCGAGCTTTCTAGGATGGTCGGTGTTTGTGCATATTAAGTGTTGGTGTTTCTCTTTCAATGCCACAACCGTAAGAAGTTGCAACCGCTAAATCATCCTAACATCCAAAGCATGATAGTTGTTATGCTAAACCTGATAGCGTAAACAACTATCGTGCAGCTTGAACAAAGGTATTAGTTATCCAAGCTTATTCGGCCGCTAGACCATGTTAGTTTTCCGGAAAATGATGGATGTTCGTGGAGTTGACGAGTTACGGTAAATAACTGTCCTGTTCCTGTTGTATCACCGGCATAAGAAGTCATTCAACCGCTAAACCATTCCATCATTCAAAGCGTGGTAGATGTTTATGCTGAAGCTCGATAAGAAGATCCTTCTATTTTATAAAGCGCTAACTTTGTGTGTCGGTTTGTATGTCTGTATGTGTGTGTGTATGTATGTATGTGTGTCCGTCCGCAAAATGAAGTGAGTGAGAAGGAAGCTC